AAAAATCAAATCTCTCTAGTGTTAGACCAAAATGAGAAAGGATACACCTTTGAGAGTACAGGCGGTGTTGAAGGTGCTGCTTCAGGCGCACATTCAGATGCCAGACGAAATGTCTGAAAGGTTCGTATAATGTCTACTATCAAACATTAAGTAGATATTGTTTTGTATCTTTTCCAGCGAGTGCACCGGCAAATGCGGCTTATGAACAGTTAATGATGTCCCAACAGCTACGGGAACAGAGCAATGCTCCCCCCGAAGACTGTGTCATGATGGATACCTGCATACCCCTCATACCTACCAACGCCAACGTTAAGGTCGAGCTCCCATCCTCAGCGCAGAAGAAGGGCAAGCCTCTGGGACCTCTCCTCATCAAGTTCCAACCCCGACCCGATTACCTCTTAAGCCAGCCCGATAGCAGGACGTATACTGCACTGAAATTCATACAAGAACCAGTGCCCGTCACTCGTGCAGAGGCGGACGCTACAACGGCAAACCAAGAATCAAGCTTCGTTTGACGATCAACGTTCCACTAGGCTGCCGGCCTCACCCCCCTCCCCCTCTTCCTAACCACCACCCACATACCTATGTCCCACCGCCTGTTCCACTTGCAAAATATCTGCCGTTTTCACAACATAACCAATCCGCAACCACGTAGTTATGTGTATTTTCAAGGGACTGTAATAATTTCCACAAATAAAGACTCCAAACGTCAGGACAGCATTTTCAGTGGGAGGTGAAGTATGACATAGTTTTCAAGTCCGAAATGCAAGAGCAAATTGCTCGTCGTTTGCCGGAATTAGAGCTTTATTCTCCTGAGTTTTCGAACTCGTTATGTAGTTCATCCTCAGAGGTAAAAGTGGCTGCAAAAGCAAGCAACAGTTATAGGGGGCAGGGACCAATCAAACACTATTGATGCAAGTCCGGGGGCTAGGGCGTAGGACCTTTTAGGTCGGCACCAGGTCGATACTTCGATTGACTGAGTTCTCATCTGTGTCCCAGGCTTCAATCAATTCCCGGCTTGTCTTGCTTATGGCCCGGGTGATTATCCTCGTGGTTGCGGCGTT